AATAATAATAACAATAATAATAATAATAATGAACAGTTATATACCAGAGACATTTTTGTGGGGGTGGAATGGGGAATGGGATCAAAAACAGTGGGGGGAGGGAAATGCAGTGGTCTTTGGTGATGGTGCACGGGTGATTTGGTGATGGGAAGCCCTACTCTGAGTGTCAGCTGAAACGAGGACACTTGCTTTTAGAAGCCTCATCAAGTTCTAGGCCAGGAAAGGGACTTACCGTGGGCTGGCGGCATCCCGGGGAGAACGCAGCCATTCTTGCAGCTTCTCGCTGGAGGCCACTCCGGCTTTTACCAGGTACGAATATGGCTCCACCCGGAAGGCCCAGAAGTGCTTCCCCTTGGTGATGCCCACGTCGCCGATGATGTAGTCCAAGTTTGTGTAGGAGCCCACCTGGATGCGGTCCGCAGCCAGGAGAAGACTGAACCCGGCTCTACTTTCAACACGATCCCGCTTCAAGTTCAGTAAGAGATGCTCGTTATTATACCCACATTTTTCATCAAAGAGGAAACTGAAAACTATAAATAGAGCTTAAGATTAGTCTGAAGATTGTTCACTAGCATTTCTGTAATCTACAGTTCAGTGAGAGTATCTTCATGTAGAAATGACTGAGTAGAAAGGAAGACTGCCTTAGGAGAGATAATACAATGAGAGATAATGAACAGTGCAAACTCTTTTGTTTGTTTTTTTTTAAAGGCAAGTTTTAGGTTCAGAGAAACTTGGAATTCCCTGCTCAAGCAGATGAGCAGTGGTTAACCTAAACTTTCATTTCCTCAACTTAGAGTGGAGGTTATACCACTCTCATCTTACTGGGAGGCACAGAAACCATCCCATACCCACTCTGGGTTCTTGAAGGTTGGTGAATAATCAAACAGGCATCAGACAAACTCCTGAGAAAAGGCCAAAGAAGCTTAAAATACCTAGTTCTTGTATAAAACTAAGTGACTCGCTCCTTAGGCTCCAGAGCCAACTTAAATAACTGAGCACTATTTCTGGGATGAGAAAGGGCAGGAGTCACTTAAGAGGTTACAGGGGAAGGGGCAGTGAGCAAAGGTTTGCAGATTCAGGCTCGGCCTTCTCCCAGGAGAAGCCAGCACCTGCCCTTCCAGGAGATCACACGTAAATCTTTTCCCAAAGGACCCTCCATGGGTCTTCAGAGCCCGTCCTGTGTAACCCATGTTTTGCCAAGATGGCATATTGGGGCGGGGGAGGTGGCAAGTAGGTTTCTGCTTCCCTACAACTCAAATTCATTAAGCCCAACACTGGTGGCTAGCCCAATGCTGAAACAATCCCAACATTCTTTCAGCAATGGGTGAAGGGAGAAAACAGAGTATCGACACAGCCTTAAAAAGGGACTTTTGGGCCCTCCCTGGTGGCGCAGCGGGTTAAAGCGCAGCACTGGGAAGCTGGAGCCGCTTTTGCATGAGTTTGATCCCTGCCTGCCCCGGAGGTGACCACATGGCGTGGCAGACCTCTCCTGACCCGCCCGCTGCTCCCCTCAGCAGTGTGCTTCATCAGTCACCCTGTTCTGCTCCCCCACTCTGTCTCTGGTGAAGCCTCTCGCCGCCCCTGCACCTCTGGCCTGTACCCCAGCTCTGCATGCAAATAATAAATCTTAAAAAAAAAAAAAAGGGGGGATTTTTGATGCACGCGGCAATATGGATGAACTCTGGAATCAGCAAGTCATAAAAGGATCTATGGGTGCTTTTATACGAGGCGCCTAGAACAGGCCGAGGGAGAAAGGAGAAGAGGGGTCTCCAGGCTCTGGTGGGGGAAGGGATAACTCTTTCACGGGCACGCAGTTTTCGTCTGGAAGCATGAAGAGCTTCTAGAGACTTGAGAGGAGACAGCACCAGACTGAAGGGGCCTGACGTCACTCACTGGTCTGCACACAGACAGGGCCTAGCGGCAACAGCACACCACCGTCAGCAACGGCTACCAGCAGGCCCTGAGCGGCCGCCGTGCTTCCTGGCACGACAGTCTACACCTCCCTTCACTCACCTCAAGTCTCTCCACGTGCAAAATGAACCTACAGGATCACCCCATTCCTGTGGCTTTTCTTAGAAAAGACGGCCCTGTGCATTTCCTTCCCCCACCCCCACCCCGCTGCTGGAAACAGCAGCTACTTGCAGGTTGCTTTTCTCTTCCACTTTCAGTGAGAGACAGAAGAGAGCAGAAGCTGCACAACTGGAAAACGTGTACTTGACATCTGGAACTCGACCTAGGGCGCTCTGTGCCGCTGATTAAAAGTCACAGGAAGCAATGCTGGCCGACCTTACGTAGCTGCGGATCTGAATCTTTTCTAAGTAGTCACAAAGGTCGTGATAAACCAACAGTGGACGATACAGCTTGGACGAAAGGGGAAGAAGTGCAGAGCCCAGGCTATGGGGACATGAGGCTGTACCAGCCGGCAGGGCCACGGGGTCTGAAACCAGTGGAGACACTGGGGTGACATCACCACCCCAGAGGTCATTCCTAGTCTACAAAGCCCACGGGCACTGTCGAAGTGTCAGGGGTTTGTAAGATGGAAGGGAGAAAGGGGAGCCGGGGAGGAGCTGTGGAGGTGTAGGGGGGTGCGGCGCTATCTGGGTGCTTCTGATACACCACCCACTCCCCACCCCCGACCTGCTGGCAATCCCAGAGAGAAGATCGAACCAAGTCAGAATACAGTTCATCAAAATATTTACTGTGACTATACCAATAATATTTTGCTCTTCTTTGATCCAATATTATAGAAATTTCTGAGCTGGTTAAAATACAAAATTATGCTAGTGAATATTTGCTGTTTAAATCTCAAACTTAATAGTTCTGCTCACTGAAATATCCTCTCTTTCATATTGTTCTGTTTTTGACATCAGTGAAAAATCAAATCCTGTCCTCGGCCTACAGTATGAATTTCCAGGATTCCACCTTTGTTTCTAATTCTAACTTGGTTTTAAAACATAGGCTGGAATCCACCTTTTAAAATCTTTTGTAACAAGGTGGTCCCCAGGGAAAGGGGAGTTTCCAGGTTCCCTGCCACACCCAAAGGTGTAGAGAAGCTGGAGGAGTCTGAGGAGGAAGGAAGCAGGATGGAGCCAGAAGGAGACCTGAGGGAGGCACAGGGAGCAGAGACAGGTGAAGCAGCTGTAACTGGTTCTTGGCCCTGGACTGGGTGAGACCGATGTGGGTGAGAGACCTGTGGGGAGGTTCACTATGGCAGGTTCATCTTGACTTTGATTTTGTTTTTTTCCTTCCAGGCTTTTCTATGGGTTCCCTCCACAGGTGCTTTAGAGTTGAGATGAGCTCTCGGACCACAGAGACCCTACTTTGGCCCAACCCTGTCTGGGTGGACATTTACCCATGAGGGGCTGGGTAACCACGTGCTTGATTTGGAAACTATATTCTTCCCTATTCTGTATTGCACACTAATTGTATTAAAGTTCCTTCCCATAAATGTTCTTATGCACTAAAGTATGTTTTGTCTTGACGTGGCAGGTGGCACACAGCATATTTAGAGTGGGCAGTTTTGGGACTTGAGGTGTCCCTCTCCGTCACCCTGTAACTCTCTTACAAATGAAAGCCCATGGCCAGGTGGGTTCTCACGGAGAGACTGACTAGCTAAGCAGGTCCTCACCCAAGTCTGCTATTTTCATTCATGCTATTTACCATACCTGGAGCCGGAGGAGTGCGAAGAATCAACTCCCTGCTGTTCGGACTGCAAACTGAACCCTTGTAGGCACGGACTCTGAAAGCGTAGTTACAGTTGCTTTCTAGATCTGAAATCACTTTACTTGTGCCAAGCACTTCTACCTCATTCCAGGACAGCATTTCCTCATCTCTATTAATCTTCCGATATTCGAGGACAAAGCTGTCCACTTTGTCCTTTTCTGGATGGTGCCAATTTATCAAAGCATTGTTATATACTTTGCTCTGGTCCTCACTGATCTCCGGCACATCTATACCTGGAAAACATATGGGAAAGAAATTAAAATATTGTTCTTTTTACCTGTGTTTCTGCAATAAAAAAAAAAAAAAGTTGACAATGCTTATGGATGCCTATACAGCCCAAGAATTTTCTAAAACGTAGACTACCCTGTACAAGAACAAGAACAAATCCTGAAAACGTAACATGGCTGGACGGTGAGGACACTGTGTGAAATATAATAAATCAGACACAGACAGACAAGTACTAACGCATGATTCCAATTACATGAGGAATCTGAAATAGACTCCTAATCTCAGAGAGGGAAAGGCAGCCCCTTGAGGTAGGGTGCAGGTCAGTGGGGGGGTGTCACCAGGCATAAAGCTTCAGCTAAGCCAGGCAAGCTCTAGGGATAGCACTGACCTACAGTCGACATTAGCATAGTTAAAATCTGTCAACACAGGGGCCTGCCCAGTGGCGCAGGGGCTGAAGACAGCGCCACCCAGCCGTCATTGCCAGCCGCTGCGACAGCTGACCCACATGGCGCCGCAGACCTCTCCTGACCCGCCCGCTGCCCCCTCAGCTGTGTGTTTCAGTGGATCCGCCGGTTCTGCTCCCCACTCTGTCTCTGGTGACTCTCACACCAGGCACCTATGGCCTAGACCCCGATTTTTGTGTGCATAAATAAAATAAATCTGTTGTTATTTTTTTAAAATCTCAAAACACTAAGAAGACGCCGACGAGCGCCTACCACAACAAAAGAAAAAAAAAAAAAAAAAAAAAAAAAAGAAAAAAAAGGGTTGGCCCACCAGAGGACAACAAAGAAGAAAAAAAAAACAAAAAAATGAAAAAAAAAAAAACTACTATTAAAAAAAAAAAAAAGGTTTGTTTATAACTGAAGGGAAAGAATGAAAAGACAGCAGAAAGTAAGGCAATTATGGTTGTAAGCATTACGATCATTACATTCAGCTTGGGCACACCCTCAACTTCCACCTACCAAGTCACAGCTCTGGCCTTGAAAGTGCAATCTATGTAGTGCAACAAAGAAATTTACTCTACTGTATATTTTAAAATCTGAGTCTGGTAGGTGTAACAATAAACCGCTGGAAACCTTGAAACTACCAGGTTCCGTATTTTCTTCCAGAGTTTCAAAGCAATTTAATTTTTCTTAGTATCAACACAGTACGTTTGTTTTAAAGAGAGAAAGAAACCACTGAACATTCCCTCAAGTTTTTAAGTGACTCAAGAATAATATCACTGTAATAATCTGTACAGTTAGTATCTCCCCCCACCACTATACTGCCGCATCGATGTTAAACTGTATTTTCAGAATTGCATTTCTCATTTTTCAGGAGAAATACAATTAAAATATCACACTTGAATCCCTCCTGTTGGATAGCCACAATCCTTTGCAAAGAATAAACTGCGATAAGCTTAAGCAAAAACCACCTGCAAAGTCATACAAGCGTGAACAGTCACCACACGCACAGAGAAACACATTTCTATCCAGTCGCAAGGAAACGTGACGAGCTGAAGGCTCCCGTCTCCCTCACCGCAGCTCCAGGCAGGTGGGCTGTGGGAGCTCAAGTGCCTGGCCTTAGCCACGCAGTCAACGCTCATCAGCCGTGGTGAGAGGCGGAGAGCCCCCCAAAATACACAGTAAGGTAAAACCAAAAACCAGTTACACAAATAACACGGTATCCAGTCTAGCCTCTACCTCTTTCTCTCCTTTCAGGCCTCACTAAAAATAAGCATGTGCAGCAGAAAATGAGGAGACGATCCATCAGCTGCACTCTGGGACTCACCTTCCCACATCAGTGGATTGGCGTGAGATACCAGTATAAGCAAGCTCACTCACCTTCAGCCTCGTCTTTCCAAAGATTGCTCTGCAGGGCCTCCCTGGTGGTGCGGAGGCTAAAGTCTCAGTGGATCAAGCTCGTGTTAGCCTCTGCATTATGAGTTCAATCCCTGGCCAGGGTGCTGACCCACACGGCGTGGCGGACCACTCCCGTCTCACCCACTGCTCCCTCAGCAGTGTGCTTCAGTGGATCTGCCTGTTCTGCTCCCCACTCTGTCTCTGGGGAATCCTCTCACTGCCCCCGCACCTCCAGCCCACCCCCCAGTCTTGTATGCATAAATAAATAAATCTTTAAAAAAAAAACTGTAAGAAAATTACAAAGTCACGCCACTTACACAGTATTTAAAAACAAAGGAACCAACAGAGTAGTTTCTGAACATAAGCACAGTTATGCTAACAGATGTATGTCGATGGCAGTTAACAGAAACATACACAGAATACAATTGCAAGATATGATGTCTTAGATCACCGAGACACTGCTTTTTAATGTCAGAAAACAAAACAAAGAAATTGTGTATTTTTTTTACACAATATGAATTCCGACTCAAAGAGTCGAGGTTTTACCATCATGAAAACTTACCATTTGAGAAAAAGGACAGTTCTTCGAGAAGTTCTGTCTGCTTAGATGTATTGACAACGTAGTCTTCGAAAGAAGTCTGAGCTGCAGGTCGGAAGCTCTTCAAAGATTCTGTTGCTTTCTGTATTCTGCAGACAATTATATTTTCTATGAAAACAATTATCTGCAAAGGCAAAATCAATCTACATATCCGCAAAGACAGTCTTCATTCAAGAGCAAGTGTTGGTTACCAGCAGGGAAGGGGGTGGGCCTGGGGGTGGGGGGAGATCTGGACAAGGGGGACCTGGGTGAGGGGAGGCCAGAAGGGGACTGATTGGCGGCCTTCCCCTCCCGCCCAGGCGGAGGCTGGAAAGCAGCAGCGAGTGGCCACCCACCGCCCCCAGAATGCCTCGGGACTGGCAGGCACAGTGGTGCTGTATGCCCGCTACCAAGCTGCCTGGACAGAGTCCTCACAGCTGGAAATGTAACTGGGTGGTCCCAAGGAGAAGGGAAGTTCCAGGTTCCCTGCCCCACCCAGAAGGAGGGTGGAACTGAACAGAGAAAAAGGAGAGAGAAGAAGAGAGAAAGAGGCCAGATGGCAGATGGAGAAGGAGACCTAAGGAAGCCACACGGAGCAGCAAACATGTGATGAAGAAACCGGGCTTGTTTCCTGACCCTGGACTGGTGAAGGCAGATGTGGGTGAGATACCTGTAGGGAGGTGACCATGGCAGTGTTTATATTGATTTTGATGTTGCTCTTTTCCTCCCAGATTTGTCTGGCCATTTCTGACCCTTTTCCATGGGTCCTATCCAGAAGGTGCTTTAATCTTGTGGCGGCTTTCAGGCCTTGCTTTGGGCCAATCCCTTTTGGGTTGACTTTTGCCCACAAGGGGATGGGTAACTTCAGGTGTTTGATTTAGAAGTTACATTCTTTGTGTTCCATATTGTATATTCACTGTATTAAAGTCACTTTTCATTAAAGCTTTATATGTTTTGTCTTGTTGCGGCAGATGGCAGAACCCACTTAGAGCAGGCAGGTTTTGGGGCCTCAGGGGTGCCTCTCTCTGAATTGAGGTGCCCTATAACAGATTGAGAGGAAATACAGGCCGGGCTTTGATGCCAAGCCCTGTGCCCTTCTTGAAGTCTGGGTCTTTTTCCATCTTTGTCACCTCGTTACTAACAATACACTGAGACATTCCCGTCTTCCCAGGGTCTCAGACCCCAGGAAGGGTGGACTCCGGTCACTCCCCGGCCTGCACCCTGAGGCTCACACGCCACCGTGCACTTACCTCAAGAAAAAAGAAAACATCCACACGGGATGTTGTTAGGTGTGAGGAGGGGCGCTCTCGGGGAGCCCCCGCCCCTGGGACAAAGCGTACCTGAGGTGCAGCTGTTTCGCCGTCTGAACAAAGCAAGACTGGTCTGTCTCCTTCAGCACCTCTTGTGCGTACCCGACAAGCCCGTTGTTCTCCAGCAGCCCCTGATACTCCTCCATTTGCGTCTGAAATTTGTCTAATCTTAGCTTCTTAGAAGCATCAATGGCTTTTAAAACAGATGACTTCCTCTCTTCTAGAATTTCAAAGAGCTTTTCAAAATGTGTAATTGCTTCTTCTTTAGCTCTCTCACCGTTGCACTAGCCGAGAACAAACAAAGCGTTACCTGAAGGGCTAACTCCTCACCTCGCTGCAGCAGCTGCGTGTTATCACCACCTGCTAACCCACGCCAACAAAACACATACAGACACTGTGAAGAAAAAATCGTGTTTGACTCTCAAATTTTCCAAATAATAATTTGGCATCAGGTACACTCGGCAAAGAATGATTGGCACCTTTATTTAGGCTTCTTTAGTAACTTTACAATGACCACTTTCTCCAGTCTTCGACTGAAGCGTAATATGTAAACAGAAAAGCGCAATATTTAGGTGTGCAGAATGAGGAGATCTTTGCAAACACAGCCACTGCGGCATCCAGAGAGAGAACATCCCCCACTCTCCAGGAACCAATCCTTTCCCTCTTCATCTTGAAGTCTAAGAGCCTGGTTTCAACTACTTTGCTACATTATTATAAACAGAATCAACAGTCTCTCTCTCAATACTACCGCAAGCTTTGGAAACACTGCGGCAAACAGCTGCGGCTACTCGTCCTTATTGCAGATGTAGACCACGTCTAGCTTGTCTGAAGGCTGGGAGGGCTGTGGAGCATGTATGCAGGGACATCGGGAACCTCACATAAGCCTGTCCTTACGCACTTAATACACTCTCCAGACACTTCCGGACAAATTCTACACTGCAGATCACGGCAAAGGCCATCGCTCCCGTCACTAGCAATCCGGTGTCCTTGTTAACTGGGACCGTAAGGGGTGGTCATTCATTCTCTTCTCTATGCTCCATGCCCCATCCTGGTCAGTTGCTGCCCCTAACCCAGCAGTGACCATGCCGCATAATCATTTATTCTTCACAGAGGGTTCTGGACTTCAGGGAGGCAAGGTGACATCTACACAAACCGGGGTGCCCCACTCACAACAGCCCCAGGATTTTAGGGCTGAGGAAAGGAATGCCTCAGTGAGAACGTGAAAACAGACACACTTACCTCAGTTTCTTTCATGAGCAAGTTTAGTTCAGAAATCTGACTCTTCACCTGACTCTCCTTACCAATAAGGTAGTCAATGTCTTTTGACAGCTTTTCCTGTCGTGATAAAAACAGACAGGCAGAAAGACGAGTTTAACGAAGGTGGCACAGAAGTTGTTTTTTAATCATACAGTCCTTGCTCTCTCCACAGCCTGATGAATAGTGAGGTCGACCATGGAGAGGGACAGATACAAGCTTAATGCGTCCAAATTCTGAATACATAGCTCACACATTACTCTTGTTTCATGTCACACCAAGAATTCTTCCTCCTAAGATGTCTAAGGGAAATGACCTTATCCCCCAATAAATTTTATAACTCTTCCTGTCACATCCCTGGATAGGATCACAAAGAACCTTCCAAATCAATCGACCCAGCCCATCCGAGCCTGGACGCTCATGAAACAACTACGCAAGATACAGTATGAAAAATACCCGTATGGAAACAGGTTATATCCAGAGTTTGCTGAAAAACGTTTTCATAGTCGTTCTGAAATTCAGTCAAGTTTACCAGAAACGAGCTCACAGGGTTTGCAAGAGCCCGGGCCAAGTCCAGAGCCACGCAAGGAAGTATGCCTGGAGCGACTGCAAACACAAAGGTCTCTCAAGCACAAGGCTGGCAGCCGGAGGGGCTGAGACTCCTCAGCCCCTGCAGAGGACCTGAGGGAGGAGGGCGGGGAAGGGAAGGGGTGGAGAGCCAGCTCTGAGGAAGTTCAACAAGTCTCCCACCCAGTCATCTCCTGTTTCAGGGGATGGGATCCATCAGAGGGGGTCTCGGGCAGGGTGGCTGACCCCGCCGGCAGGGCAGGAGGCATCTGGGGACTGAGGGTGAGGCCAAGGGAGAAACTGGAGACAGGAAGTCAGGAAGAACTGAAATGACCCCCCAGCCACAGGGCTACCTTTAGGGTTTTGTAGGCACTGCTCATGGTGCTGACCCGGTGGGAGGAATGGGTGCCACCCAGCTTGCACAGGTGACAGACGGGCCGCCTACACAGCTCGCAGTACAGGTTGATTCTCTCCGTTTCATGTTCAGGACACATTAGAATCTGTGGACAAACAAAACCAAGCGGGTTGAAGAATCTTTCACAGCTGACCCGGCAACCCCATACAGTCTCAGTGGTCAGACAAAAAGGGCCCAATCACAAAGGTGTACCTTACAAAATTATTACTAAATAAGTCATTTAAATGACAAAAAGTGTGAGCGGAAATAAAAGCACATGTAAAGCCCCTGTGTTCGAATGACTTGCTTTTACATTTGAAGGGTCAAAGGTTAGTTAGGTGTGTGGATGTTATTTCCATTAAGCTTGGTGATGAGCAGGTGAGGTTTTCATTCCCGTCAGACTCATCAGCAGAATGCTACCGGAATGCCCTCTGGCCACTGTGGCAAGGCACTTAGCTATTCACCACGGTCGGTGACTTTAGCATGGTGTCATGCATGGCACACCAGCTATTAGCAGCCGGGTCTCACCATTCTCACAAGAAATCTGTTCCTGAGAGACCTAGAACACTAGAGAAGCTTCCAGATGTGTCTGCTTTTACAAATTAAAGGTGCACACAGTGATCAAAGTCAGAACTTTGTTTTTCCACCTTGTTATTTACTCTGTAAACCACCACCATTTATATATCTGATGTTACATAAAATCAAATAGAAGAAAGGGAGGTTTTTATTTAAAAGCATTTCTGAGAATGCTCTGAATTTTTTCCTAAATAAGGCTAAATGTGTCTGGACTGGAAAAATAATGTGTTGCCACAATCAGAGTAGAAGCAACAAGACAGGACCTCTGTGGTGGTGCAGGAGTAAAAAAAACCTCAGCACTATGAAGCTCTCAGCAGCCACTGCAGCATGAGTTCGATCCCCGGCCAGGGAGCTGACCCACAGGGCACAGCAGACCTCTCCTGTCTCACCTGCTGCTCCCCTCAGCAGTGTGTTTCAGTAAATTCACCTATTCTGTTCCCCACTCTGTCTCAGGTGAATCCTCTCACCCCACACTGCTGGCTTGCACCCCAGTTCTTGCATGGATAAATAGATAAAAATAAATCTTTAAAATAAATAAATAAGATATAAAATTTCACTGCCTGCAAGGGATGATCACAAGAACTCATAGTTATTGCCAAATATTCTATCAGAAGGAACACTTTTTTAGAATTCTACAATATTGTCTAAAGCTGGTGACTTGGAAGAAAATATTTTTATCAGTAATTCCTATTCCTGTGTCTTTATCAGAAACAATCTTTTATTATATCTGTGAATAGAACAACCCTGCAAATTATACTCAAAATCTTTCTTAACTCATTTAATAAGCACAAATTCTTTCATTATGAAAGAGTGCTCATTTTTCAAGGAAACCTGAAAAATCAGGTTCAGTCATAAATTGTTAAAAACCTATGACCTTGGGCCTCCCTGGTGGCGCAGCGGGTTAAAGCACTGCACTGAGAAGCTAAAGCC